TCTCGGAAAAACAATTTGCAAGAAAAATGACAAAAACTGGCGTTTCTGCTGGACGAAAGAGGGCAAAATCTTTGCAAGGAAAAATGAGTCGTCACGTGTCCTACGCGTCACGAAGCTCAGCGTTCTTGATAAGATAGAGTAAGTCGAGTACGTACATACCGTTTCCGATATGAAATATGGAAAACCGAGTTTTGTCGGTCTCGGAAATTTGCAGGTTGTCACAAAACAAATATTCATTTTCTGCACTGCATATTAACACACAGTCTGCTAGAAATAAAGAGGAAGAAATACAATGTTTGTTATCGCGCATGGATTTTCAGTTCGAGATCGTGATGTTTACCGAGACATGGTATCGCGATGCTACAGAAGTGATCAAAATTCCAGGATATACTTCTTTCTTCGTAAACCGCAGCTTTAAAAAAGGAGGCGGGGTCATGATGTTAGTGAAAAATGGCATGAATTGTGTTATTGTGGAAGAATTTTCAAGAGCCACTGCTGATTTTGAGGTTCTCACTGTCAAAAATGGTGCTAAAGTGTACAGCGTTATGTACCGTCCACCTCATGCGAGTGTGTCAAATTTCTTCACATTTTTAGATAGTTACCTTAGTTATTTTAATGATGATGCCAGCACTGTCATTCTAGGAGGTGACATAAACATAGACTGCTTGCAACAATCAACAAGTCATGATGAACTTTCTAGGATCTTGGACGCGAACAGTTATATTAATGCAATCAGTCTACCTACACGAATACAACCAACTTCTTCGACACTACTAGACGTCTTTATTACAAATATTTCACCCGAGCATCTTAGTTCTGGCGTCATCAGTTCTTCTGTGAGCGACCACCTACCCATTTATCTACTATCGGCGCAAACAAAACCCTCCACTGCGTCACGACACCCGTCCACTAAATCTTACAGACAGATAAACTCTTTCACGCTGAATAACTTTCGCTCTCATTTGCGTGTAACAGATTGGGGCAAAGTATTAGAAGTTGATGAACCCGAGACAGCGTACAATGAGTTCATAAATGTTTTTAAGGCAGCGTATGAACAATGTTTTCCACGTAAATTAGCGAAACGAGCTCGGAAAGCCCGTAAGCCATGGGTCACCGGGGAACACCTCAAGAGCATGAAAGAAAAAGACAAACTGTATCAGATCTTTATGAAAACAAGAGCTTTAACAGATTTACACGCTTTTAAGCGCTTCAGGAACCAACTGAACAAACAGCTCCGAGAAGCGAAACAAATTTACTTAAGCAATCTTTTCACCCCAGAAGTCCTTAAAAAGCCACACCTTATGTGGAAACGATTGAACACTGTGCTACACGGTGACCCCCAAGAACAATCCACTTTATCAATTAATAGTAACGGCGAAGAATTAACGAATGCACGCTTGGCGAATTCCTTCAACGACTTTTTCACATCACTTGTGAATAGTAAGCACGATCCGAATTGCATTCAATATTTAACAGCACCGATACAGAAAAGCGCATTCTTGTGTCCGACTACTGTGCATGAAATTATAACATCTGTTTTGTCACTAAAAAACAGTATGTGTACGGATGTTCATGACTTCCAAATCAGACCTATAAAATTTGTAATCGATATTATCGCACCAATTCTGGAACATGTTATTAACCTCATGTTTTCTGTTGGCACATTTCCCAAACAACTACAGATGTCAAAGGTAACTGTAATATTCAAGGGTGGTGACATCAATAATTTCTCCAATTACAGGCCAATTTCAATTATTCCAGTCTTTTCTAAATGCATTGAGAAATTGATATATAAACGCATGTCCAGTTTTTCAACGAAGCATAGCATTATTACGCCTTGCCAGTTTGGCTTCCGGAAGGGATGCTCCACTGAGATGGCTCTATTACGCCAAAAGGAGCTTATCTTACAATCTTTCGAAGATCATCTCTGTACACTAGGCATATTCATTGACTACTCAAAAGCATTTGACTCAATTAACCACGATTCCTTGTTTGAGAAACTGCAGCATTATGGCTTTAGAGGCACTTTCTTAAAACTTATAATTTCTTACTTTAAACATCGCCACCAGCAAGTCACTATTAATGGTTTTGTATCCGAATTCAAACCAATTAAGGCTGGTGTACCTCAGGGTAGCATTTTGGGCCCATTGCTCTTTAATTTATATGTGAATGATATAGTAAATATTTGTGCTAATACTAAATTTATCATTTACGCAGATGATACAAGTGTTTTTATTACAGGACGTGACCCTTCAAACCTCATTGAAAAAGGCAACGTCGTCCTAAATAAAATTCACACTTGGAGTATCGCCAACTCTTTGAACCTAAACGCGGCTAAAACGAAAGCTGTTATATTTCGGCCTCAAAACAAAACACTGGGCATCACAAACAGTCTAAAGTTAGGTACATCAACTATAGAATTATCACGCGTTGCTAAAAGCCTGGGAGTCATTTTTGAAGAGCATATGACGTGGACAGATCAAGTGAATGCCACCTTAAATAAACTTTCAAAAACTGTAGGTATATTGTCAAAGTTTCGTTACGTCCTGCCTCAAAACATAAAATTGTTAATTTATAAATCACTATTTTTGTCTAACTTATCTTATTGTCACTTAGTCTGGGGCACGACCACCAAAACCAACGTTCAGAAATTACACAAACTTCAAAAGAAAGCCATTCGTAACATCGTTAGTGCCGCATACGATGCCCACACGGAACCGATTTTCAAGGCTCTGCACTTATTCCCAGTACATGAGCTATATCACACAATTTTAAACAATCGCTATAAGTCGGCTATAAAAAATAACGACACATTTTTCACAGAATTGTCGGCGCTAACTCGCGCTGAACATGTGCGAATTTTGAGGACTCGTGAAGTCTGGAGATTACCAAGACCACGAACCAATTACGCAACACAGATGTTGAAATATCAGCTACCGCTACTACTTAACATATCCGAAAAACATAAGTAACACTTCCGCGTACTCAATTCGCATGTGTATGATGATAAAATGTACCTGTGAATCTCTCTCTCCCCCTTCATTTTGAACGAGTGCATCTCTGTATACTGTACCAGTGCCTTTTCTCGTATACCAGTGCCTTTTCTCTGTATACTGTACCAGTGCCTTTTCTCTTTATTGTGTACATTTTTCAGTTCCACTAGCTCGCTTATGTTGTTGCAATGAAGATAACTGTTATGTGCCCGTTTTTGCCTTTGTACGTCACGATTGTACGCCACTCTGTACGCCACGTTTGCCAAGCCCGGGGGTACGGACCCTGTCAAGCCTCATCTATGGCTTTTTGTCCGTACCCACCAAGCTCCACTGAATGTCTTTGAAGCTGAAATAAATCATGATTGATTGATTGATTGATTGAAAAAAAAAAATACTTTCGTCCGAAGCAGTATTAAAATTGAGGAATCTAGCTACTTGGGTAGCCGAGGGAGTACACAACATGTTGGTTTTAAATATTACTAGTTCGTGGTCCGATATACCTGGTACAAATTCAATTGTGTTGTTAAACTTGCAAATAGACTCAGAAACAAAAATAAGATCCAGAATCGAACTCGTGCCTGCAGTGACACGCGTAGGAGTCTTTACAAGTTGCGTCATGCTACAGGAAAACGCTATATCAAGTAGCAATTCGGAGTGCTGGCAGGGTGTTTTAACGCAAAAGTGATCCCAGTTTATTTTTGGCAGATTTAAATCACCTCTTACAAGAATGTGGGTATAACGTTTGCTTTGTTCGAGCAAAAAATCTTGCAAAGCTTCGAGTACCGCTATATCGGAATTGGGCGGCCTGTAGACAGCGCCAATGAGCATGCTCAAATTTTTATGCCGAAGAACTATCCAAGTCATTTCGACGCACGTCCCGTGCGACAAAACCTTAAAATCCATGCCCTTTTTCAGCACTATCGCTACACCGCCCTCCTTTGCACCTCGGTCGTGACGAACGATTTCATGAGAGCTGGGAATTACTGCCGAGTCGGGAATGTCATTTGGAAGCCATGTTTCAGTAAGGATTGTGACGTCGGGATCATAAGCAATGAGGATGCTTTCTAGATCGACCGATTTGTTGACGACACTTTGAGCATTCATGTTTATTACAGAAAATGTTGACGGGACCGCGTGAGAAAGTGGAGCCGGTAGCGTTCGTTGATGCTCCAGATTGCTGCTGTGTTGCTGTCACTGCACAGCTACCGGAACCCTTGAGTTCAGTGAGTCATCCCACCGATAAAGCTTGCCGTTAATTTTGATCTTGTCAAAGGTCAAAGCAACTTTTGCTCCACTACTCCGTTCTTCTCGTGCGCTCGCCCATAGCTTTTTTCGTATTTGTTGAACTCGAGGCAAAAAATCCTCCGAAATGCTGAACTCTGTGCCTTTTAGATTATCGCAGTTCTTTAGAATTCTAGTTTTGTCTCTTCCGTCAACTAGCTTCAGAATGACTGGTCGGCACTTGTTTGCCACTGGCTTGCCAATCCTGTGAATGCGCTCGATGGCGACATTTGGCACCTGAATTATGTCTTCCAAGATGCCCTTTGCCACTTGTTCACCAAGAGGCTGATCAGCATCGTTCTCTTCTGTCACGCCGAAAATAAGCAAGTTATTTCGTCGACTGCGGTTTTCAAGGTCGTCGATTTTTTTTGTCAGCCCGTCTACTTGTTTTTGTAGGTCATCTACCTTGGTTGTGTTGGAAGCGACAGTTTGAGAAAGGTCGTCCAGTTTTTTTTCGATACTGGTCAGCGTATCAACCGTTTTACTTAATTGTTGGGTGACTGCGCTCGAACTGTCTTTCAGCTCGCGAATATCATTGATAATCGTTTTCAGCATTGCTTCTGTTGTGGGGCCCGGATTAGGCTCAACATCACCACACGACGACAATAAGTCAACCAGGCATTCATAAACGGCACAGTACGCAAGAAGCAATGACCGTGGGTACGGCAGAAGCACAAGGCAAACATTGTCGTCTCGATAACATGAAAGATTGCGATCGTCTCTCACCTGTACGGAAAACAGGAACGGATTCCTGAGCAACATATTCGCAGAGCTTCCGCCGTGCCCACTGGTGAAGATGGCCCGGTCCAAGCGATTTATACTCTCTTCCATCGCTGACGTAATCGACGTCGTGCTGAGCTGCGCAGCTGGTTGGGGTAGCCAAGAGTGCATGCCCAGGAGTTCGTCGCTGAAGCAGCATTTTGAAGAATCCATGTTCCAGCTGCCACGGTGCCAATCTTCGTTGTTGTCCGGGAGAGCGCTGCACTCCGCCTGCCCGTGACTGGTGGATGAAGCGAAGACCACGGCCTGTACGAAAAACAGGAACGGATTTTTGAGCAACATATTCGCAGAGCTTCCGGCGTGCCCACTTCACTGCAGTTTCACTCGTATCTTTGACAAAGATACGAGTGAAACTGCAGGGTCGCTGAGCCTGGCCATTTCGAAATAGCCAGTGCCGTCTACTAGACATAATAAGGCAGATTAACGAGCCGCGTGGCCGTGACCGACCATAGTGATGCAGCCAGCATCGCCCGACAGAAACATTGTCAACAGTTTGGCCAACAATGCTTGCAGTCATGCGGAACGTGATAAAGTTATGTTAGTAGTTGTGCCGTGCCCAAGAACCTGTTTAAGTATTGCATATGAGTGCTATTGTGCATGCAAAATGTTACTCTGTGGTGATGTTGAGACAAACCCAGGACCCACGAACGCTGATTTATTACACAGTATTCTTCAGGGCCAAGCAGATATGAAGGCTGAAATACAGCTATTAAAATCGATGAACGAACAAATAATGTGCGACATGGACTTGCGATTTCGAGCAATTGAAGCCAAACTACAGGAATTTAAAGATAAATCACCGGAAGTTGCAGCTCTTGAATCCACTGCAGCTTCCTTTAAAACTGTGCTGTCATGGCAGAGCTCCAAGTTAACTGATCTCGAAGACCGAAGCCGTCGGGCAAACCTTATCATTTATGGTGTTCTCGAAAACACAAATGAAAATGACACCTGTCTTCGAACTGCTGTTGTAACCGATATATTCGAGAAAACATTGGGAGTGAAGTGCAAGTCCATAGCCCGCATTCACCGTCTTGGCCGCCAAGGTAGTCGTAGGCCTGTCATAGCTTACTTTCAAGATTATCTGGAGAAACAAGAAGTCTTAAAGAACTCAAATGAATTGAAGGGCTCCAATATTTATGTGCAAAATGATTATAGCCAGTGCACGCTGCGCAAGCGCCGCCTGCTTTGGGAAAGTGCAAAAGCTGAACGCGACAGCAGGAAACGGTTTACTCTTATTCACGACAAGATCAAAATTGATGGCAAACTATTTGGCTGGGATGAAGCCAAAAATGTGCGTGTAGCTCTTAATCCGCAAGCTACAGGTTCTGATTGACCTGCTCAACAGTGTGTGTCCAAAAGTTTGAGAGTGCTTAACGTAAACGCGCAAAGCCTGTCAAATAAAGTTGACAAGCTCGAGTACCTTCTACTCACCTACGACCCTCACATTACAATAATCACAGAAACCTGGCTGCACGAAGGTATAAATGATTCAGTACTAATTCCTCCGAGATATCAAATCTTCAGACGTGACCGGCCAACAAGAGGTGGTGGTGTAGCAATAGTTCTCAAAGATTGTATTAGTGCTCGGCCCCTTCAACAAATTCATGAGCACGAAAGTTTATTCCTTAAGGTAAGCTGCTGGGGCCATTACTTCACTGTATGTGCCATCTACAGACCACCCTCTTTAACACACGAATATCTGTCTAGACTATATGACCACATGTGCACGTTTAAAAATGATCGTCTGATTCTTGCAGGTGATTTTAACTTGCCCAATGTTGACTGGCGCGTTCCATGCTCTGGCTCTGATGTAACGATGTTAAACCCTCTCGCTGACATTGCCTTGATGTGCGATCTTGTGCAGATTGTTAATGAGTGCACCAGAGAGGCTGGAAACACCCGTTCTACACTCGACCTAGTCTTTTTAAATTCCGATGTATGCAAATACACGGTCTATATTGAAGATGGCATTTCCGACCATAAAGCAGTATTTTTATCCTTCGGTATTGGTGAAAACAAAGCACACCGATCAGAGACCAGACATGTCATTAAGGATTACTCGAAGGCGGATGACCAGGCCATTTTGGATTATCTGTGGTTTTTATGTGATAATCTTTCTGATGATGTGTCGATCGCCTGGAACGAAATAAAAACTGCGATACATTACTGCACTGATAAGTTTGTGCCAAGCAAACGGGTTAGGAAAAACCGAAATAACCCATGGATTACTAGAGATATACATTTGCACCGCAAGCTAAAATGAGCTAGAAAAAAGAAAAAAATACCCTGCAGACTTATCTTGTTGAAGGCCCAGCTTGCAACTCGGCTAAGCGAAGCTAAGACAAGATACTTCAACCACTCGCTTCCTAACTTTTTGAAAACTAACCCGGATAGATTCTGGCGGTACTTGAGCGATGCGCACAAAACACCGACCGAGATATCAGTAAATGGCTGTATTGTTAACGATCCAGTCAAAATTGCAAACCAATTCAATCAGTATTTTCACTCAGTATTCACTCAGGGAGATCATGCTGACACAAACATTTTTTCTCTGTCTACTATACCTGCCGATTTCATAACTGTCGAAGGTGTCCTTTCACTGTTACTGAATGTTAAGACTAAATCTTCCGATGGTCCCGACAGCATACCTAATGCATTTTTGCAACGTTACGCCGAACCTATTGCGCATGTCTTCACCCATATTTTTCGTCTTTCGTTTCATAATTCAATTCTTCCCGATGATTGGCGTACGGCACGTGTTATTCCCGTGTTTAAAAAAGGTTATCACCTAAATGTTGAAAACTACCGGCCAATATCATTAATTTCCGGTCCTTGTAAACTTCTTGAGCATATCATCACGCATTACATAATGTCATTTCTTGAAGAAAACAGTATTCTGACTCCTTTCCAGCATGGTTTTAGGAAGGGCCTCTCGACTACAACTCAACTTGTCACCACAATTCACGACTTCGCAATGGCACTTGATAAGGGTGACCAAATAGACGCCATCTTCTTAGATTTTAGAAAAGCTTTCGATTGTGTTTGCCATAGTAAATTACTCACCAAACTTTCAAACATTGGCCTACCCATTACTGTAATTAATTGGATCCGCTCCTACCTTACCAGCCGCAAACAGTTTGTCCAGGTCGAGGGCTGCTGCTCTGGGGTTCTACCTGTAACCTCGGGAGTTCCACAAGGCAGTGTCCTTGGCCCTGTCTTGTTTCTCATCTTTATCAATGACATAGTTTCATCTATTGACACCTCCGCCATTAGCCTAAAGCTTTTTGCAGATGACTGCATTCTTTACAAGCCAATTAAAAGTGAAAGGGACCAAGAGTGCTTGCAGAACAACCTAAATTCTCTCTCCGATTGGTGCCATACCTGGTCGATGGAGTTAAACATTAGTAAATCGGTCTATATGCGTATCTCAAATAAAATTACCCCTTTTGCATCATGCTACACCTTAAATAATAATTCGTTGATCGAAGTGAGCAATTTTAAATACTTGGGAGTCAATATTACCAATCGACTGTCGTGGAGTAACCACATTGACGACGCTTGTTCCTCCGCCTCTAGAAAGCTAGGGTTTCTTAGATACAAACTAAAGAACGCGCCAACTCAGATCAAACTTCTTGCATATAATACATTTATTCGACCCCGTCTAGAGTACGCATGCGTAGCCTGGGACCCGTATTTTAAAAAGGATGTTTATAAACTTGAAATGGTCCAGCGGATGGCAGTAAGATTCATCTATAATGCCTATCACAATCTTGATTCACCTTCGTCACTTATGGCTATCAACAACATTCCGCTCTTGAAACAGCGTAAAACTATCGCCAGACTCAAGTTTCTTTTCCTGCTTCGTAATCATCAGTTTAATATTGATCCCAGTAAATACATCTCTCCCTCTTCTTCCAGGAAAACCAGGCATGCTCACAATCATGATCTGACACCTTACTTTGCACGTACTAACCTTTTCAAACATTCCTTCTTTCCGAGAACCATTAGCGAATGGAATGCACTGCCTTCAAATGTTTTTCCTGAACGTGGCATTCCGGACTTTGAAAACTACATGCATCTTTTCTGTAATCAACACTGTTGATATTTCAATGCTAGATTACCTCTTCTTATTATTTCAACTGTGTAGCTTTACTTTTTTGTGCTTGAAACTGTTTCTAGAAGTTTGTTCGCTTTTTTTTCTAGATATGTATAACTAAGCATCCTATTTAGTATGACTTGTTTTTCAGTAGCCTTGTGTATTCTAACTTGCTGTATAACTTGTTCGTTTTTTTTCGCTATGCTCCCTTTTTGTGCCCCTCCTGCTTGGTCTACGGACTGCATTATGTAATAAATAAATAAATAAATAAATAAATAAATAAATAAATAAAATGTCCAAAAAAGACTCCGGCCCTCTGGCACACGGGCAGCATGAACGAAGCAGAGAAAGCCGAAGTGGAGAGTAAGAACAGCTGGCTCAGAGAACGGGTGTTGGCTCTTTTCTCGCCCATTACAATATACATACTGTGAAGAAGAAAGAGCGTCGTTGGCAAGCAACATCGCCACCGCTTTGGTACTGGGTGCTGGGCTTCGCTCGCTCGGCTCGTGCTGATCATCGCCGGCATCTGCTTGACCGTTGCTCTTGCACGATCGTGTTTCTTCGTAGGACCACCGTCGCAACAGTCGTCAATAAACCCTTTTTCAATTGGTGGAAGGTGCTGACATTCCCCGTCGCCTGAACCTGGGTGCTGCCATTCGCCGTCGCCTGAACCTGGAGCTGCGCAACCGAACGCTACCTCCCATCATGGCTACCAACAACGCGCAACCTGGCTCTTCCACTCCATCCCCCAGCCACCCCGGCGTTCTTCGTTTGCGAGAGCCCAAGGTCTTTAGCGGAGCTGATGAGACCGACGTGGAAGACTGGTTCGCTAACTATGAACTGGTGAGCGCAAACAACAAGTGGGATGACGCGGACAAATTGACTTACGTCATCTTTTACCTCACTGACGTGGCCGAAATGTGGTATAACAACCACAAAAACGACATCACGACGTGGTCCATCTTTAAAACCTTGTTTGCTGACGTTTTTGGCCGACCCGCAGTCCGCAAGTCCAGAGCCGAACAACGCTTGCGGACTCGTGCACAAAAGCCAACGGAATCTTTCACCAGCTACATTGAAGACATCATTGGACTTTGCAACCGACTGAACACCACCATGCCCGAGTCGGAGAAGATTCAACACATCCTCAAAGGGATAAATGACAGTGCATATCAGCTGCTCCTCG